TATTCCTACTTTGAGACTTCATTCTGCCCAGCATTCTTTTCACACTGGATTCTGGGGGCAGGTTACTGGTCATTTCACTGCCAAGTGAAACCCAATAGAAGAGCTCAAATCACACACTAACTAGCATTACATTTCCCATATCTTTGATACTATCCTGCTAGAGTGGTAGACAAATTGTGATAGACATCGCGAGAGCACAGTTAAAGAACACACTGTATGAAAAAATTGAAGAATAATCTTAGACTCAGGAGCACAATAAGCTGTAGACTACAGTAGGCTGCAGCCTAGGACCACAGCTAAAGAGGGAACAGTTAAACTTCTTAGATTTGGCCGACTGATCCACTGGCACAATACTCCGCTCCCCCCGACTGGTGATCAGCCAGTTTTAGCACTGGGAGCCTGCGCTTCAATTAGCATGTTATTAATATTCCATCATTTTTTATTCCCTCTCATTTCTATTTCTGCTCCAAAAAATAGCTCAGATAGCTCACTTTGGGGGCCCCCTGCCCATGTCAGGCAAGGCCCCCTAGAGACAGTCCAACCTTGCCTCCATCATAAGGTCAGTAAAAGTCAGATCAACAAGGGGCTCACCGACGATGCATACTGGACCCAGTTCCCATACTCGTCCTGCCAGTACCAGGCCCATTCGGTAGTAAGAAAGAAGGTGGGTTGTAGCACAGAGGACACAGTAGACAGACGCCTTACTTTGGATAGTCCTCGCGTCATTGTGTCAAAACACACAGGCTCAATCCCCCGACTAAAACAGAAGAGGGAACATGGCAAACAGATATGCATTTATCAATCTAACAGATTACACCTTAACTAATCAAGTCACTAACAAGTCAGAAGAAAACAAGTTGATATATATGAGCTGTACTGACACACTCTACTGTAGGGGAAAGGACTATCTGAAACCCTGTGTGACATGCAGAAACACCCATACAAACACCCACACATGCATAACTACCTGTACAAACACTAACATGGTACTGTGCAAAAGTCTTAGGCAGTCAAAAGAAATGTTTAAAGCTATTTATCTGGGTAGTTAGTGCACATTTGCTCAGAACAAAACACACAATTGGAAAAAGTGCAAATTAAATGTAACACAAATACTAGCAAAAAATTCTTCAGTTCTCCAAAAAGTTACTGATATCTTGCTGGATGACTAGATGAACACCGCTTCAGTTCCCAAACCTCTCCTCAGGGGCACCCCAGCCATTCCATGTATTTATTATTATTATTATTATTATTTCCCCACCAGCTCACTTAATTAACTTAATTAGTTAACAAAAAAATCAATGCGATATTGATTAGCTATATGAGGTGTGGTAGTGGTCAAAAAATACATGGGTGTATTGTATGGTTGCTGCAAATACTGTGGTGATATTAGCAGAGGTTTTGAAATGGCTAAGCTAACACACTTTAACAGGCATAATAACATAGTTTTACACCAACATAAAAATCATTTAACATAATTTTCTTTAGCAAGACTTTTGCCCAGTACTGTACATACAGAAACACCTGCACCTTTATACAACCTCAAACATCTGTACAAACACCTGTAAAAGCAGAAAAATCTACACACACCTGTACAATCATATATACACAAAAGTCCAGTCATACATGCAGAAATACCTGTACAAACACTCATACACACAAAAACACTTGTACATTCATACATCCACAAATATGTAAAAATCTACACTAACACTCATACACGCACAAACACTTACACCTGTAGAATTCACACAAACACTTACACCTGTAGAATTCACACAAATACTCACACAGGCACAAACAGCTACACAAACTCATACATGCAAAAACATTCATCTGTACATTGGCACACTAATACTTGCGCAAACATCTGTACAAAAACTCAAGAACACTCACACAATCACTCATAAAGACACAAATACTTTTACAAACATGCACAAATCCATAAATACTTACACAAAACCTCATACATGCAAAAAACACCTGCACAATCAACTGACCTCAAAATAAGGTTTATGTTATGGTACAGGAATAAAAATTGACCGAAGATTGGTATTAAATTGTTGATCTATATGTATTGTACCGATTTTTATAATTTGTAGATTTTAAAGTATATGAAAATAAGTAATAAAAATGTCATTCCTCACAAACCTGTATGTTTTGCATGGGTTACAGAAATCTTTCTCAACCTCCTCGTTGTCCAACAGAGTAGACCAGCCTTGAGGGGTCTTTACTTCCCATTTGTACGGCATGTTGAAATGAACTCTTCTGCACTTGTCTTTGGTGCAAAAAAACACAAAGGTAAGCCACTGGTACCTTAGAAGCTGTTCATTAATAAGGCTTAATGGGTCAGGGTAGAGAGTATCCTTAAATGACACATTGCTGTGTTTACGGGGGAACCCAATATACTTAATGCAGCTTCTTAAATAATGTATGAAAGTATTATGTACAAGCGTTGGTAATTTTATTTGAACAAACAACACAACAGGAAAACAACAGAATAGGGATGTTTATCAGTATCAGCTCTAAAATCAAATCACACCCCCGCTTGTTTTATCAGAACTTGGCTTGGCTCAGCCGCAGACAGGCAAAAACCCTCTGGCACTCTGGGATAAGGGCTCAAACTTGCCCCCCTGGGCAGTATTTCACCCCCCCGATACCTTAATCCATTTTAACAGATGGTTCTTAGAAAGTTAATTTTACTGGATTTCCATGAATTTTTTTCCAGATTATCCTGAACTGTCCGGAAGTGTTTGTTCAACTGCTGCTGTCACTGGAATTAAAAGCTTAAGTGCTTTTCTGTTCATTCGTTTGTTTGTCCCTTGCTTGCTTGCTTCCTTCTTTCCATCCATCCATCCATCCATCCCATCATTCATTCATTTTGTAACTGCTTGTCCTATTCCGGGTTGCAGGGGCTCCAATGCCTATCCTGGAGGCTATGGGTGCAAGGCAGGGAACAACCTACCAGAGGGCACACTCACACACCATTCACTCACACACCATACACTCACACACCATACACTCACACACCATACACACACACACTCACACACCATACACTCACACACCATACACTCACACACCATTCACTCACACACCAGTCACTCACACACCATACACTCACACACCATTCACTCACACACCAGTCACTCACACACCATACACTCACACACCAT